TGAAACACCCAGTGCCAAACTTACACAGTAGCAATAGGAGAATTTTTAGCATGGAGAGTGACATTTTCAAAACTGTACTTAGGAAGATTAACCTAACTGTAGTGTGTGGGATAACTTGTAACAGACAAGTTATTAAGGGATTCCAGTTGAGATGTTAGAATGCACCAAATCAGTAGGGTTGAGGGCATCAAAATGACAGCGAGAATGCGGTGAGGGGTGGATTTCAGAAAGATCACAGGTGGAAACAGTGGAACTGGCCGCTGTTTGGATGTGGGAGCACAAAGAGTGGAAGTAGTCTAAGAGGTTTTAAGCCTTATGTATGGAAAGATATTGCTCTTCTGAACAGAAATAGATTAGGAGTACGATCAGGCCTTCCAGAGAAAAAATGAATTAAAGTTTGAGAATATTTAATTTGAAGTGATGGTGGATCACTTATATTTAAATGTTGAGCAGACACTTGGAAATGCCTGAATCTCAAAGAGGATACATGGTTTGAGAATGAATGATTACCAAGGGAGAAAGAGCGAAGATGGGACAGAAAGAAAAATGAGAGAAAAAAACCCAAAAATTAGAGGAGAAAGTAGATGCTGTTAAGGGACAGTATAATGAGAACCTGGAAAGTACAGTACCTTGGACACCAAGGGAGGGAAAGGTTTCCCAAAAAGGCTATTGTGGAAAAAACTGAGAAGTGTTTCTCTTTACATGGACTCCCTTCTCCTTAGTGATAGAACCTGATACCCAGAGATAGGCTATGTTTCCCAGCCTCTTTTTCCTTTTTTTCCCCCAGCCTCTTTTATAGCTATATGTGCCTGTTGACATAGTTTGGGCCAATGAAATGTAAGCACATATTTTCTATGTGTTACTTCTGCGAAGTCTCCTTGAAAGGGAGGAGGGCATACTTTTATTTTACCTTCCTGCTGCTTATAACGGTTGGAACTCTAGCAGATAATTTTTAGACCATGAGCTCAGCTCAGACTGGGAGGCATATATCAGGATATGGAGCAGCATAATAGAGCATCCTGGTTCCCTGCCATCAAGGAGTCACCATATCACCCCTGAAAGACTACCTCCAGTCTTCCTTTTTTAGATGAATTAACTAACATATAGCCAATCTCAAAGAAGAACTGAGGAAAAAATTATTGGGTGTGAAAGTAGGGCACAGTTGGGAATATGTCCCTTATAATGTCCCTTATAATATGAGAACAGGTCTAGAGGGGTCCTGGTGACTCAGTCGATTAAGTGTTCGACTCTTGATATCAGCTCAGGTCTCAAGCTCGGGGTCATGAGTTCAAGCCCCACATTGGAGCATACTTAAAAAAAAAAAAAGAAGAAGAAGAAAACAGGTCTAGAGTCAAATTGACTAGCTTGAAATCCAGCTCTGTTATTCATTAACTATGTGATATTGGGTGAGAAATTTAATGGCTTTCAGCATACTAATAAAGATATTAATAGAACCTACCTCATGAGTTATATGAGAAATGATTTAGATTATTCATATAAGGTGCTTCACACAGTGCTAGCATATAATAGGCGCTCAAGGAATGTAAGTGAAAAAAATCAGGTGGTCACTGATAACATCGTATAATTTTTAAAATACATTTCATGAAATTCTGATATTTCAGAATCATATTAAGTCTGCAGTTTAGAGAAACAAATTTATGTTAAACAAAATACTGAACATAAAATATATTTTGTAAGCTTTGAATGATTATATAAGTATTTTTACCATTTTAACTTGAATGCATATCACTTTACAATGTGACCACTAATAACACTGACAAAGTACATTCTGTTGTATAATACATACCAAGTGATGTATTACTATTATTTGATTTTTATTTTTACAAAAAGCAAAACAATGGAAACCAAATCATAATGGGCTGAAGAAATTAGTTTTCAAAACCAATTGTTTTATAATATTTATAAGGTATTTAAAGCTATTGAAGGCAGAATTCCCACACCTCATGCAATACTGCAGATATCACCTGCTATCTACTTAATCCTCAGAATGTTATAAGGAAAAATTGGTGACTATGGAGTTCTTCACTGTAGCTAACATATTTGATAAAGAATCAATCTGATTTATTCAAACTTCATTTTAAAGTTTATTCTAGTGGTAGCCAACATGGAGGAATGGAAAGAACCCAAATTTTGTAGTCAAATAAATCTTAGCTCAAACATAGGTTCCATTTTTTACTAATACCATGGAAATAGTTGTATAAGGTGGTTAATTAGCATTAAGACTATTTTGCAGGAACTGAGAAATGCTGAACCAAATTCTTTATTTTGTCTTTATATGTAATTATAATTCTGTGTTAATGTATTTTTTTCTGCAGCACATTCATTCTAAACTATTCAGGAAATACTATAATGAGAGATAATGAAAAAGATTTACAGCTCTCATTTAAAAAGATTTTCCAATTCTGAAATATGGTGTATCATTCTTGTTATTGAATCATAAGAAGGAAATAATAGCTGGGAAAGGTGGAAAGAACAGCCACAGTGACCAAGGAAATAAAGGAAGGATTTTCACACTAAAAACTTTTTAAAGAAAGACTCTGTGTTAAGAATGGAGATTGTTAGAGACTCCAAGTATTAAAAAATTATAAAGATTGTAGAGGTTGTACCTTTGTTTAGATACAGAGGTGTGTTATTTAGATAGGATCTGGTCACAAGACCCAGCAACATTAGAGTTCTGCCATTCATCAGCTACCCTTCTGTGAGGTCCTTGAGAAAAGAACATGCACTGAGGAGGCAGGCAAGATAGAAAAACACTGTATTTGTAGCTGGTACAAAGGTATTAAGGTCACAAAGTCCTGCTTAGAGATCTGCAAATAAGCTAGGATAGACTCTATGAAGAACTCTTTCCGTCTAAATTAGGGTAGGCTCACTGGCCAAAAATAAAATCAAGACAAAAAGCAGATAAACTCTGCTTTATCACTTCCATTACCAATCTCAAACCCAAATCTACCCAAGGAAAGAGAAATCAAGGCCACAAGAGACATGAACAGCCAGAAGGAGGTTGTCAGTCCACACCAGTGTCTACTACAAAGATGGCCTAGACCTGAATTTGCTTTCTGGGTTTCTATTTTTGTTTGGGTCAAGGGAAAATGAAGTCCTTAAGGAATGTCCACCAATAGAAAGCTAATTTACAGCACCACTGGATCATCCTCCAAGGCATACAGATATTTCTCTTTTTGCCTCTGTGACTCTTTTCATACTGTATCATAAAATCTAGTTTTTAATCTGGTTTAGTTTAATCTAGTTTAAATCTGGTTCTAGATCTCAATGGGTATCTGTTGAAGCTTGGGAAACTAAAGTTTAAATAACTTTGAGAAAACTATGAGGCTTTCTGCAAGCATGCAAGGAGAAATGAAGTCAACGAGAAAGGATTACGGATCAGCATCTAGTTTCTTAGTAGGAAGAGGTGGGTTCCAAAGTCCTGCAGTAGTTTTTTTATTTTATACATCTCTCTTGTCACCTCATATTATGGCTAATACACATCTCTTTCCCCATTCCATAAAGAATGCCCGAGGCTGAACTTTGTTGTATCTTTGTATCCCCATAGCCTAGCAGCAGTCTATAATATATGCCCATATATATATATATATATAATTTGCCAATATGTGTTTTTTAAGTAAATAATTATTCAGCTAGCTACTGAGTAGGAAAAAGAAAAAGGCACTACAGATATATCCTTTAGAAGCAGATAGCTTTGTATGGAGAGCATTCTAACCTATATGGAACAATTGTCACAATAAATGACCCACAGAATTGGGTATCAAGTCATATTCTATAGAATATAAATACTATAAAAATTTGTAGTAGATACAAGTTAAAGTACTGTAGCTCATTTGGGGGTGAGGTATGGTCAAGGCAGTATTTATTTAAGCCTTTAAGGGTGATTAGACTGTGGAAGGGATTCTTGCTGAAAAAAACTGCCAGAGACCACTTTAAGGTGGATTCTGACATAGACTCCTTAAGACCTTTGCACAAGCCAGGTTCCTTCGGCCTAAGGTTAAGAGACCCATTGGTTCTGGGGGGTGGACTGGGCTTTCTCAAGCCCTTGCTTACAAACAGAGTGAGTCAGTGTTGCCGTTGCCTGGCATGAGACAACAAACACAGCTTTCTGTTACCTGCCCTTTGCGTTGCTTCGGTTGGTGAGCTTTTCCTCTCCTTCCTCGGGTTCTCTGTTTCTTGTCACCACCACTTCCTGAGATTCTCTTCGTAGTTTGGATTATCTGTACGATAGAGTCAGAGGCGTTTTCCTTTGAGGGTGCGAACGTGGTTGTAGTAGGAGTGGGTGCTGAGCTTGCAGAACCCAGGCTCTGCTTGGAGAGAATGGTTTTTTCTTTCACAGTTTTTGCTAGTGTCTTCCCTGCCGCTCTAACTGGTTTATAGCGGAAAGGGATCACGGTCAAGTGAGCTCTAACTCCTTCTAGCGTGTTTTCTAGAGCTTTTCCGACGAGCACAAGACTTAAAGCTGTGGGGGCCGCAAGAGGAACTCCCAGGTTCCCCGGCTCCTCTGTTCGGTACGCGGTGAGCGTAGGGCGGAAGGAGGCGGGACGTCCGCAGCCCCGCGCGCAAGTTCGGAGAGCTTGGCCACCAGGGAGGAGCACTTCGACCCCTCGCTCCTAGAGACTTCCGGGGCGGAGAGAAATGGGCGGAGGGAAGACCGGAAGTACAGGGACGGGCGCCTACTTTATAATCTCCTTTCGCGGCGGAGCACTTCACTCTCACCTGGGGAACAGATAGATGGTTGTGCGGGATATCTTATCCTGGTCGCGCTCCCTTTCACTTCACCACCGGGCTATAAATTGACCTAGGGAAAATCTGACCCCAATGAGCAGGTGGGAGATAGCCTCTATGGTAGTTGGTCCATTTATTCAAATTCTCCTCGACCTTCTTCAGACTGTCGTCAGCTTCCTTTTGCTCCACACCTCTCGTCACCTTGTTTTTACCCTTTTACAGCTGCGGTTCCTCCCGCCCTGTCCCACCCTCCCACAATTATGTATGATCGAGCTCCCCGCTTGCTCAGATTGGTTGAAGGTGGCAGCACTGAGGAGCATGTGGGTCCTGGAACTTACCAGGTACCTTTCCTGAAGGAGCAGGCAACAGGTAAGAGGTAGGGAAAGGCAAGCCTTCTGTGACAGGCACCTCACTTTCAGCCAGGCCCGCTTCTGTGTACTTGTTAAACATAATGCTACCACTTCATAAGTGTAACAAAACATAAAATAGGCAGGGAAAATACTCTCCTAATTTTACAGGTGATAAATGGTAAAATCATTTGTCGCATTTCACAAGGTCAGTAAGCGTATGGCTAGGACTTTTGATGCTACAATGGTTATCTCCATCCTACTTTCACTTGTACAGGTTAAATCTCGGATTTTGATTTCCTGGCTCTGATGACTATATGAGTCCCAAATCCTGTGTTATTTCTTACCGTCTGCTGTTTCTTTGTAGTCCTGTCTGCTTCACTCACACACCTTTGCTACCATTAACTAGAGACACGTCATTTACTAAAGTGTAACTTTTATATTTCTAGTTTGCAGTATGATTTAAAGATAGTCCCGTGTATTTTTTGATAGATGCTTCCTAACTGGCCATATCCATCTTCTTTTTGAACATACTAATGAGAGCCCACATTTGGGGGGGGGGGGGAGCTATACTTGAAGAGATGGAGTGGGAATGGATAATTTAAATAATTACTTGAAATAATTATTTTCTCTCATTTGCAGTTAGTGACTTAGGGGAAGCATTTAACAAATACTTATAATTTGCTTTCTGCTTTTTCTAATTTGATGATTTTGTGGAGCTTACTACCATCCAAATTATAGTTTTTCCCTTGTTAATCTGCATTTCCCCTATTGTTACACTCTATTTTTAAACAAATGCCATTACTGTGTTTACATGACTGATGACATTAGGATATTAGGTTGATTTAAGTTTCTTTGGGTGGAGTGCAGATTTGTCATTGTTTTAATTTTTGAATTTTACTGCTTTTCAGCATCTGATATCAATATCAGTGTTCTTGGAGCCTATGTCTGTATTTAATACAATTGAATTGTTAGAGACATTAACCTCCCTAACAATGTATTAACCACCGACCACCACCCAAAATACTTATACCTGTGATGCTTTTCAATCCTTATTTTATTTTGACACAGCTGACCACTGTCTTTAGAAATATTTCTTCCCCTGGTATTTATAACATCATCATTTTTTCCTGGTTCTTTTTCCTGTTATCGTCTTGCAACAGTGCCTGATGCATGGTTAGGACCTAATCATTAACATTTGTTAAACGTTGAATAAGGCAATCATTTTTCTCCTCGACAATCAATCCTTCATTGTCTTCATTGTCAGGTGATTATTTTTCTAAAGGTCTTTTAAATGTTTATATAGTGTGTTTTCTGTCCTTTGCTGGTTTCTTTTCTAGTGCACTTTCTTGTTCAAATCCATGACTTTGACTACTGTCCCTATTCTGATTCTGATTCATCCCAGAAGAAAGTCTTTAGAGATATAGGTGATTTATATCTCTAAGATGAACTTTCTCCTAATCTTAGGGCCTTCTTATTGCCATTACTTTTTTGAACATCTTTATTTGGGTAGTCTCTGACATCTGAAACTCCCAAGTGTCTGAGTTCATCATTTCCCCCATCATTACTAGCCCCTTTGAAAAATTCCCTATCAGTCAATTATAAATTTTAAACTTTGGAATTATTCTAGACTTCTCTGACTGACCACGCTCATTGATCATTAAGATCTATTGATTCTATCTTCTCATTGTCTCTTAAATTAGTTCCTTTTCTTCGTGTAACTTCCCTTGACTGTTCAGGGCTCATTATTTCTATTCTGAATTAAACCAATAAAATATTGCTGTTTTCCTCTATTTCAGTTTTCAACTTCTCTCTTATAGCTAAAGTGATCTTCCTAGGATATAATTATGTTATTTGTTTAAAAAAAATCCTTTTAACATTAAGGTTAAAATCTGAACTACTTAGCATAGTGAATAAGATTCTTCATGGTCTGATCCCTTACCTGGCCTCCCACATTCTCTCTCACCTATACCCAACACAGCCCCACATACATATCAGCAGTTTCAACTTTGCATTTTCTAGAAGTTCATGCTCACTCCCCTTCACGCTTTTGTAGCTGCTGATACTTTGCCTAGTGTGCTCTTCCTTCCTCATCTGGCTGAGTCCTACTTACTCTTTTAGACTCAGGAAAAGTGAAATTGTTCTTTGACTCTACTATTTCTCAAGTCTTTCTTTGACTTCTTAATGACACTTTTGTAGCACTTTGATACTATATCTTAATTATCTGTTAACTATCTGGCTGCCACACTAAATGTGATTCTCTTAGAGGCAATAGCCATGATCATTACTGCTGTTCTCAGTTTTTAGCTCAATACCATAACCCTTAGATGCTTAATTAAAAAAAAAAAAAAAACCAATGGTAATTCTTGGAATAAAATTTTTAAAAAGTCTAATGAGCTACACATAGAATTAAAAACTCACTTCATGACTTATGTGAACTCTGCTTAGAGAGCAGTAAGTGGGGTGTTGCAAGGCCCTTCTTTTACTGTTTTATAGAATTTTGCCTTGCTGAACTATGAAAGAAACTAGGAAATTCTATGCTTGGCCACTCAAAGCAGCTGTATCCTGTTGAGCCCTGTTTTAGCAATACTCAGTGACAACAGGCTGATAATTAATAGAAGGTACAAGTATCATTTCTTTACTGGATAATTTAAAAGTAGCTATTATCTCTTTCCTAGGTTCATTCTATTTTACCCCTCTTTAAGATCAGCAAACACTGGTTTGTGCAGAAATATACACAGTTATTTCAATTAAGGGTCAGGTAGATTTTATAGAGTATGATGTAGGAAGAATAGGTGTTGGGACTTTATATAACTTGTTACCTTGAACCACAGAAGAGCAGAGGACCTTAGAATCTTAGATCTTCAAGAGAAAGATGCAAATACTCGTTATTCCCAACTTTTCTCTTTCCTAATTACCACTCTCGTACTACTGTAGCCTGCTTGGTCAATCCTCCAGTGTATTATTTTCACATTTTCCTCAGGAAATTCTTTTCACCCCAGTCTGCAAACTTCATTGCCTCAGCCTTCAGCCATTTAATCAGAGAGACTCTTTTAACCCAGGATTTGCAGCCTAAAAAGAACAGGACTGAGCTGCTCTGATTTCATGAGTAGGAGAGAGAATGGATATTCCAATTCCAGATTATTGAGAACTATTCCTGACTTTCTCACATTTATCTAAGAAGGAAGGGTATTTTTTCTCATCAAAGCAAATTTTCTCCAGAGACAACCAGCCTAGTAAAATATAAAAACAGTCTGTTTAGTAATGTGACTTTTCCTGGCATATTGTGCTAAGGAGAATTTAATTGCTTTTTGAACTTGATTTACATAATAAATGGCACCCTACATCAGCTGTATATTGGTTATCTATATTGGTTCTGTATCAGTTATCTAAGCTGGGTAACACCAGCTCCTAAATATACTCTCTCCCAGATTTCTTCTTTGATGGAGGAGTGGTTAGCTTTACCTGCCACAGAAACATGAGCAGTCCATGGTCTTGCACTTGTGCCTATGAGCTTATGCCACCAATAATGATTTATCTTATTAGCCAGTCAGAATTTAGGGAGACAATCTCAGGAAATGGAATCTGTCTTTAAGTTTAAATAAACTATACATATGTGATTGCTGTATATGTTGATGTCCCTGAAGATGAGTATGTTTCAAAGGTCTAGTTATTGCTTTTATCTGAAGAATGACCTTTTTGTTTTGTGGCAGTAGCTGTGGCTATAGAACTTGCCCTTTAATCACATGCTGCCCACCTTCTTTCTCAGAATGGACTATCTTTTATTGCTTCATGCCAGTTCGATTTATCTTCTGCTGTTGGTGCCTCAAACTCAATATTTCCCAAACTGAACTTCTTTCTTTCTTTTCAAATATTTCCTTCTCCTGTATTCTTAATTTCTTCTTTCTACCTGACAGTTTGATTTATCATTCATAGTTGGCACTTTATATGCCAATATATCCATATGTCCCAAACCAAACCTTTTATCTCATACTCCACTAACCCTAATTCCCCAGAACCTTCTTCTTCTATATTTTATACCTTAATTATTGGCAGCACTGTTTGTAGTATAATTATTTATTTTTCTGGCTTTCCCACTATTGGAGGCCAGAGTTTTAACTTATTCGTTATTATACCCTCACTGCCTCTCTCCACACACAATAAAGCATTCACTATTGTTGAATGAATGACTAAAGGTGTAGTTTAGAATATCACCTATGAATTCTATATTTATTTACTAATATGCAGGGCACTATGATAGGGTGGCCAAACATCTTTTTTTTTTTTTTTTTAAAGATTTTATTTATTTGAGAGAGAGAGAATGAGAGACAGAGAGCATGAGAGGAAGGAGGGTCAGAGGGAGAAGCAGACTCCCTGCCAAGCAGGGAGCCCGATGTGGGACTCGATCCTGGGACTCCAGGATCATGACCTGAGCCGAAGGCAGTCACTTAACCAACTGAGCCACCCAGGCGCCCTAAACATCTTGATTTATATGGGAATGTCCTGGTTTTAGCACTAAAAGTTCTATGTCCTGAGCATGCTAGGACAGTTTGCCACTCTAAATGTAAACATTATGTATACAGTTATGAATAAAACAGACCAGTCCTTCTTTCATGGAGCTAATCAGTATAAACACTTTAATTTTCTTGTGGTTTTACTTGAGGTCAGTATTTCATATAAACTTTTAGCCTATTGGGGGGCCTGGGTGGCTCAGTTGTTAAGCGTCTGCCTTCGGCTCAGGTCATGATCCCAGGGTCCTGGGATTGAGCCCCGTATCAGGCTCCCTGCTCAGTGGGAAAGCCTGCTTCTCCCTCTCTCACTCCCCCTGCTTGTGTTCCCTTTCTTGCTGTGTCTCTCTCTGTTAAATAAATAAATAAAATCTTTAAAAAACCCCCCAAACTTTTAGCTTATTGATGAAAGATTCTATATAATTAATTTTGGAAAGCTTCAATGAAGATTTTATGAGTACTGGCTTTCTTGAATACATGGGGCTATTGTGTGTTTTTTTGTTTTTTCTTTTCC